TTTTTTTTTTTTTTGTCTTTCCTTCCTTTTCTCAAGCTGCTATTGGAAGGGTAGTGCAAATCCCTGAGGTTTTCACCTTCTCCTTCCTCCATGGCTGGTGGTGCAGGAAAGGTGCCTGAGTAACTTGTAAGGTAGAAAAACTTCAGTCAGCTCTTGTCTTGTCTCCAATTTTGGTATATTTGTTTTCTATTTGAATTTATCAATAGAAGGAAATTGTTCATCTCTACAAAAAGATCTCTTGAATGCTTTATCTCAATGTGAAGTTAACCAGCAGTATTAAGGATTGCATGGCCTCCATCCTGCTCTTATCCCAGTGCTGGGGACCCCCTGGCTCCTTCTCCACCTGGGGAGCTCTCGGTGCTTGGGCTCGGATGTTTTCCAAGAAAAAAAGTGAGGTGAAGCCATCCATCCAGCCAGCCAAAAACTGCCAGCAGAAGGCTGAGGGAGCAGTGGAGGGAGGTCTCACTGCATCAAGGCTCTGCCTTGAGGCACGGGCAGGTCCAGGAGCTTTTCTCTTAATGGGTCACGCCTGGACCATGGTGAGGGATGTGTACCCTGGAGGAGCAGTTTGCTGGAGGGGAAAAAGGGATTTTACTTGACTATTTATAGAAGATCCTTTAGGAATATAAAGTACCTCTCTGCAAAGTGGGGGGAAGAGTAAGGAAGGTCTAAAGTCGTGTAGGAAAAACACTTGGGGATTACAACTGCTTGGAAAATAGTCTACAAATACATAGGCCAGAGCTCTCTGCCTGTTCAGTTGTTTTTTTCAGCATCAATTTATTTCTTTTTCAGCCAGCATTTGCTCTTTTACACACTGAGGTGTGTGTGTCCATCTGACTCAATGTGCCTTGCATGTGTGCTTAGTCTTTCTGGAGAGAGGTGGTGGGGTGTGAGCTGGGATGTGGCTGGGAGGGGCCACTCCCCATCCACACTCCAGGGTTCCTGAGTGTCCCAGTGACCCTTCAGCTCAAAATGAGACCTGGACTCCAGCCAGCGTGTAGTGGCTGTGTTAGTTTGGGGATGATGTCCTGTGCAGTGGCACCTGTGACTTCAGAGGGGAGTGGGAGGGAGGGAAAGAAAAGCTGCTTTGCTCTTCTGCGGACAAAAAATCAGCATTGCCATGGTTTGCCTGCAGAGCCAAAAGCCAAGGTCTGGAACCGGCTTTGCTGGAGTTCAGGCTCTCTGTGGCACCATGATCCCGTTATCCAGGGGATTTATTCCCTGCCAGATTGTGATTCTTGTTTCTGTGGGGTTTGCAAGATTTTTTATAAAGGAGAAGTCAACACACCTTGCTTGAAGTTAAGGAAATCCAAACGCTTGTGTTTGCAGTCAGTGACTCAGAACTCCAAGCTGTGCAGTTCTGGGTCCTCCATCTCCCACCCCAGCGTGTGATGATTCTGTCCGAGTCTTTCTGTACTTCTGCCACAGTAAATGTGAAAGCTTGCTTGCATTATTTTTTAGAAATGCATTTTGCACACTCGGGTTTCGCTGAAGCTCCGTGAAAAGGTTAGTTTGAAGCAGATGAATAAAGCTATGCACATGTTTTGAAAGTTTAATTTGTGTCTCATTACCAGAAGTGACTTATCTGCCCTCTTTTGCATTCCTTTGCTGTCATTGCCTCCATTCTCTTCACCATCTCAGAGGGTATGATGTAAGGTGACAGTTCTTTGCTGACAGCTGTAGCAGAAAACTGGCGCTTCTTGATTTTTTTAGTAGCCTTTCTCTCTCCTTTGCTTTCTCTGTATCTCTCTGTATAGCTATATAAATATATATATTATTTTTTTATTTTAAAGAGCCTACTTTAGTAATTGAATCGGAGGGAGTGGGGTGTGCTGGCTTGTGTTTCAGATACACTTTGTGCTGTTGAATGAACCAGTGCCCTTTTTGTCTCCGGGGAGAGCGTGGTGGTGGCACCCACCCGTGTCCCCCATGGGACAAAAGCAGCTTTGGGGAGGGGATGGAGACCAGTCCACTGCGCTGCAGGCCGGTGGCGTGGGCAAACTCGAGGCTTCTAATGACAAAATGAACCAAGGGGAATCCTACTGCTGTGTATTCCCACTGTGAGGCAGGAGGGACAGGGTTCCTCACTATCCCGCTGCAGGGCTGGAGTGGAGACTGGGTTCCCTCCAGCCTCGGGGGTGAGAGCTTTATTTTGGTTTTGTTTTCATGCGTTAGGTGCATTGGGTTGCAGGTACCACCTTTGGAAACGTGTTGCTTTAGCCCAGAGCCTGTGTGAGAGAGTTGGGATTTTGAGACAGGAGAAGGACCCTGACAGCTTTCTCCTCCTGTTCCCTTCGCCATGGCAGAAATTTGTACTAACTTGACAGCTTTTTTTCATACAGAACAGGGCTGCTTTTCTATCTACCATCACACGTGTACTTACACACCTTCAGCGGCTTCCCAGCCTCTGAAGGTCCTCAACTTGTTTACTGGGGGACTGATGCCCCTCTCTCCCCCTTCCCTGAATATTTCAGTGTTAAGGGCGGTGCAAAACACAACTGCGCGCTTCGACTGCGAGCTGGGGCTGGAGAGATCCCTGCAGGCAGAGCCGGGCGGGGTCCGTCTCCTCTCCTGCCCCCCTTCCCCGTCGATAAGTTCTCATTTCCTTCCTGGTTTGTATTCAAATCGCTGCGAGGGGTTGTGCTCTGCCTGCTCAGGAGCTGAATTACCTCTGACCTGCGGAGAGGGGCAGCCCCTCTTTGGTGTCGATGTTGTAGTGTGCGACCACACGGATCAGTAAAGGTAGTCTTTGTTTCCTTCTCCCCTCCCCGGTAATTTCTGATTAGGTTAATGCACTCTGTGTGCCCAGCTGGAAAAGCGTAGGCGTTTTCCCAGTGGTGAGAGGGTGGCTAGAGGAGTTTAGTGTAAAACCTGCTGTAGCTGTGTCTGGCGCAGCCCCTTGCGCTGGTGTGGTTGATGTCACGGACTGTAAGGATAGCTAATGTCCATGAGCTGTAATGGCATGATGTATCTTTACCAATGATGTCATACTTCACACTAAATGTTTAAAAAAAAAAAAAAAAAAAAAACCAACAAAAAAAAACACCCTTACCTGAAATTTTGTTTATTCTGCACCAACAGGTCTTCAAATTTATCCAAATTTTATTATTTTATCAGGAAAAAAAAAGAAATTTGTGTAGATCGAATACGTTAAGACAGACAATAAGTGATGTAAATTGTTGAATAAAAATTTTAAAGTTTGTGCGTGTCAGTGTGACTTTCTTTTTTGTGTTTTCAGGAAACATCCTGGGTTTAGATCTTGGAGGCCTTGCAGTGCTGGCCATAGAGCCCATGAGCTGTGTGTACACAGGTTGGGTGGAATCCAGTGTCCTTTACTTTGTCAGGGGAAGGGGAGAGGGCAGGGAGGGAAAAAAAAACAATGGTTTCTGTGCAACAGAAGGGGCAACTGAACACAGAACCTCCCTCAGTGGGAGCCCCACCGCACTTCAGCCCAGCTTAAAGTAAGTAGGAGAGTCGGTCCCTGCTCCTGGGATGGGAATGTGCAACCTCAATCCCAAACACACACCAGCAAACACACACCAAGCTGATTGATCTTTTTCTTTCAGTCACATTTATTGGCAATTGTGGCAGTCGGTACCGTTTTGGGAGTGTTGTTCCATAAGCAGTGTCAGTACGAGAGGGGGGTGGTTATTTTGGGAGGGGAGTTATTAGCACCAAGAGGGAGCTGGTGAGCTTTCGAAACCTTGCAGAGATGTTCTGGGAACTGAGGAGCTACTGCTGGACACGCCTGATGGATTGGATTTGGGAGGTCTGGGCATGTGAACCCCACTCTCTCCAGTGCTTGTAGTCTCCACCGTGGTGGTCAAACTCCAGGACGTACTGGTAGCCACGGTACCCGGGATACTGGTAGCACACCCAGCTGGAAAAAAAGGACAAAGAGGTAAGCAGAGGGGGTTACAGGGTGTCCCCCTCCCTCCCTGGTGGCACAGTGATGGCAGCAGATTGTCCCCGCTGCTCCTGACCCTTGGGCTGTCACTTACGCGCCACACTGGATCTTCATGGAGCCCACTTCGTTGTTGGCCCAGCCCATGGCCTGCAGCGAGGGGTAGTCATCAGCAATCTCCCACTGGCGGCCGATGAAGTTGTCTTTCTCAAAAAGAGTGATCTTGGATTCCTTGTGATTCTGTGGGGCAGAGCAGGGGGTGAGGGGGAGGTGGCGCTTCCTCCCCAGCCTGGGTGGGAATGGCAGGGCTGTCACTCCCTACACCATTACTCAGAGGGTTCCTGGAGAGGGAAGTGTGCAGACCCCTGGCTGTTTGGAGTTTTCTGTGTGGCTGGGATCTATACCACAGCTACTGTCTCAGGCTGGCTGTCCCCTAGCTCTGGTCATGTACAACTTGGCCAGAAATTCCCTCAAAAGCTTTTAAAAACAGGACAGAAAGAGCAAATCCTGCTGGGACTGGGGAGTGGGAAGCACTGAGTCAGCCCCCGGCATAGCTGTGTTTTCCCTTCCTAACTTCCCTGCTGTGGCCTGGGCCATTTTAAGGGGATCAGAGCTCGGTGGGACACTCACAGCAGAGCAGACGGGGCGGAAGGACATCAGGCGCTCGATGTGGTAGGCGTTGCTGCCGCTCCAGGCGTCCCAGCGCGGGTACTCTCCTCTCTCCAGGATGAACTGCTGCCCGCAGAAGCCGGTGTGCTCGTAACCCACCCAGCTGCAAAAACAGAGTGAGGGCTGCCAGGGCTTCCTGCAGCAGCTCTGGGCATCCTGCTGGGAGCTGGCATTAGGGGCAGGATGTCGGTGCAAAGGAGGAGGTTGGGGTCTGGCCTCTGCCCACAGGTTGGGAGGAGAGGAAGCTGTGCTGGATGTGGGCAGAGAACCCAGGGAGTGTGAAACTGCATCTGGTGCTGGGGAGGCACCCACACGGCATCCCTAGCTGCAGTGGGAGATGGGCAGATCCTGGGGCCCATCCTGCACAGGTGGCTCTTCCCCTGCCTGCTCTGTCATTTATGCAGACCAGCATCGCTTCAGGATGCCCCAGCTGCCCTTCTCTCCCAAAGGCCTAATTTCTTACTTGTTTCCCAATTACAATCTGACACTGCTGGAAAGACCTGAATTCCTGATGTCCAAAGCAGGCAGAGCCCATCTGGCTCTGAGCAGAGAGCAGGGACCTATGGCCTTTCCCCTTTCTGCCTCCCCCTCTTTGCTAAAAACAAACAAGGAGAGGTGAGTGGGATGCCTCCACCCTGCGGGACACATTTTGCAAGCCCCGGTGCTGCCCACACAGCCCCCGCCTGTCCCCAGGGTGGGGATGTCCCCTTAAGGAGACTGGGGACGGAGCCACAGGCAGAGCAGGCAAACAGAGCCTGGGCTGGGGGTTGAAAGGTGGGTGGCACAGGCTGTGCAGTGCATGGATCTCCTGCTGATGGGGTACAAAGGCTGCTGAGGGGGCCGAGGGTTTCCTGCCACTGACCCAAACCGAGCCCCAACGCCATGTCCTGCAGCCAGCCTGCCCTGTGCAAGGTGAACAGCCTGATTAGGAACACGTCAACTGGAGCAGGGAGCTGATTAGAGCGTGAGCACGCACGCTGCTGTAATCCCATTAGCATTACACGTCCTAAAGATAGCAGCACAAATCTATCTCGTCTGCTCCCCGCCCCGGCGGGATGCACACCGCGGGGACCGCTCCCGACACTCCGCCTCTCGGAGCTGCTCGGGAGGTGCCAGGGAAGATTCCCGTGCGCAGGGAGAAGCCCAGCTCTGCTCCCTACCCCTCTCAGGACTGGAGAAGCTGCGAGAAGGTTCTGCGCTGCTCTGGGAAGCTGTGCAGTGCAGGGAAAGCCCAGGGCAGAGCAGGGCTGGGCCCTGGGCAAGAGGTGGTTCTCTAGGGCTGGTGCTTCATGGGGTATCACAGGCAGAACGGGGACCAGGCTAAGCCAGGCCACTCACTGAGCACTGACTCTCTCTGCATCCTTGGGTAGCAACCCTGCTCCAAACCTGACTGGTCCAACACTGCAGGAGGCAGTTTTGGGTGATGCCAAAGGTGTTGCCACTGTCCTCTGACCCTCTCTCTGTATCAGTGCTCCTCGGGGCGTGCTGTCCTGCCCTGTCAGGGTGGGATCACCCCATGCCTGGCTTCCCTTGGCTGTAGTGCTTGGTTCCAGCCAAGCAGAGCAGGGACGGCTGTTCCCCCTCCACATTTGAGCAGCCCTCTCCCAATCAGCCCTCCTGGGAAAGCAGCCCCTCCACTGGCAGCTGGGTACTCACGCGCCACATTCCACCTTCAGGGAGCGGATGTTGTCGAAGCCACATTCCATGATGTTTGGACAGGCTGAAGTGAACTCCATCCTCTTGCCCTGGAAGTTTTCTTGGTCGTACACGGTGATCTGGAACGGAGAGCGTGCTGCCGAGTTGGAAACTGCCCAGCAGTGGCCCCGGGCAATTCAGCGCCTCTTTTAGATGGAGGATGGCTCCGTCAGGGAGAGAGCCAGCGGAGGCTGCACCGGGCACCCCTGTGGGCTGGGACACAGCCCCGCACGCCTCCGCGTCCCTGCACTGCTGGCCCCGCCACGCCCTGCCTTGGTGTCGGGGGAGCCGCAGGCTGGCCCCCGCTCCGCTCTCCTGCTCACCCCTGCGGAGATCAGTTCCCGGGGCAGCGGTGCCGTCCGGAGAGAGGAGCGGAGCCGTTCTGGGACGGGCGGGTGGCAGGGCTGTGGCTGGCGGTTCTCCCGGCCTCTGCTCCGAACGCTCTAGGGCAAAGAGGATTAACGGGGGAAAGGGCGAGGGGCACCTTCCCGGGGGGCTGCGGCTGACGCTCTCCTCTCCTCTACTCTCCCGCGACAGCTCCAGGCTTCGACGGGATGCTCCTCTCTTATGCACGTGTTTCTCCTCTCCCTTTCAGCTCCCTCCTCGACAAGTAGCCCTGAGGCTGTTGCCAGACTCCTTGGGGCTGCTCCCCGCTTTGCTCCATAGTGCCCACCGACCATGCTCACCCTGTCTGAATAGACAGGGGAGGGCGAACAATAGCCGGTGGCTTTTGGGGACTCTGTAACTGCCTGTCACGGGATGGCTGGTAAGAGCAGGGCACAGCTGGCCCGGGATGCTGTGAAGAGCCTTACGAAAAACACCCAGGAGGTATTTGAGCAGGCAGGAGGCACGTTCCATAGGCAGAGGACAGGGGTGCCTGTTTCCTGTGCTCGTCCCTGCCTTACTGCCCTCTGTGCAGCTTTCCTGGCCCCTGAGGATGGGCTTTGCCCATCTCCCTGTTCCCTACCTGCACACAGAGAAAGGCGAAATACAGGGGATGTGAGGACGTACCTTCCACGGGCCCATGGGAACAGGCAGAGGGTTTGTCTGAGCCATCTTTGCTTCTGGATCGGTGTCTGGAGAAGGAAGGAAAAGCCATTTTTACTGCAGCATGTCCCTGTGCATCCCTGCTGCCTGCTCGCGAGGCTGGGGGACGACTCTGTGCCTGACACCCACAGCGCCTGTTCCAGGACAGCTGCCCCACTGCTGGGGACAAGCCACACCAGCCACAGCAAGACCTTCATACCAGCCCCAGGATGGGGAAGGGAGCACAGCAGGGGGCTGTGGGACACATCCAAAGCAGGGTGCTCCCTTCTCAGCATTGTAGTGCCCCTTCTCTCCTCCCTGCCATGGTATGGAGCCTGCGTGCCCACCAGGGCACGGTGCCCAATTCCCCTTTCTCCTTCCCCGAAAAATCACCCCTGAGACACATCGGGGGGCTTCAGTGGGCACAGGCTGCCCTGTGCCTGGCAGTGCCCAGCAGACCTGCCTGATCCCCTCTCCTGCCCGGTGTCCCTTGGGAGACACAGTGGCTCCCATGGACAGCCCTGGCTAATGGTGGGAGATGCCAACCGGCGTGCCGTGCCGGTGGGTGCCGGGAATGGGGTGCCCTGCTATAGAGGGGCTCTCAGCCCCCCCAGCTGCCAGCAGGGACGTGTGAGCCTGTCTTATGGCATGGGAAACAGCGACGGTCCCTCTGGGTGTCTTTTGCCACCAGGCAGGAGGAAAAGTGTCTGCCCAGCTGGCTGGCAGCGGAAGGGTGAGGTGGGAGAGGTGCGCATCGGCCCAGGACTCACCTAGCTCAGGCGGTTACTGCTGCTTCGCCCATGTAATGTTTGCCTACTTCAGCGGCTCAGCTTTTATAGGGTACTGCTGGCCGGGAACCGGTGCCAGCGTTTGCAGAGCCGTCAGCACAATGCTTGCTCTGGCATTGTCCTGCTGATCCCCGGAGATTTCAGCTGCTCATCCCCATGGTCTGAGCCACATTCTTAGGGAAAAAGAAAAAAAAAATTTTGATAATAAAAAAAAAAAAATAATCGGGGCGGCTGTTTGCACAGATAATCTTGGGCACAAATGACTCAACGATTTGACCGCGCTGGCATTTTCCAGGGGCAATGCACCGCGCCGTCACGGGGTGAGCCTGGGGGCTGGCCTGGCCCTGGCGCCAGTTGGCACCGTGGGATGGCGGGGACACCTCCCCGTGAGACCCTGCGGGTGGTGGGCTCGGCAGGGTGTCCACCAGGCACTGTCACTTCGCTTCGCCAGCCAAGGCGCGTTCCCTGTCACTGTGTTGGCGTGGGCACCCTCCTCCCATCACGGGCAAGGAAGGCTGGAGGTGAGAACTGGCGTGGCCCTGGCAGACGTGTCCCCACGGCCACACCGAGCCCCAACGCTCCACACAGCGCTGCCATCACCACAACTCCACACCCAGGACACCTGCCATGGCCTTGGGGAGGGGTCAGCCCTGCAGTGACCACAGCCACCAGCCCCACAGCCCCCTTCTCATGCCATGGGGCGGACACTGGGGCACCATGGCGGGCACAGCCCGGGCCGTCGGGGGTCACGAGGCGAGCGTGGCGGAGCGGGCTGCTGCCTCAGCGCATGGCTGCCAGCACAATGCTCGCCCGCGTCTGACTGCCCCTTTTGTCTCCCCGCTGGGCAGCCGCGGCTGCACAAAACAAAGCGCCCCGTCAGCGCTGCCTGCGGCATGGCCTGGCGCCCGGCCCGGGGGACCCTGCGGGGACGCGCGGCGGGGTGGCACCCGACCAGACAGGCCTTGTGGGGCTCAGCACGGTCCTGGGGGACCCCTGCTGAGGAAAGGGCACTGCCCTGACGGGGGAAGATGGGGTTTGCAGGGGCCGTTCCCCTCGCTGGCTGCTGCAGGATGGGGACTGAGGTGGGATCGGTGTCACCGGGGGGATCGCTGTGACACAGAACTGTGGGGCTGCACCCCCACAGTGCCAGGTGACAGTACCACCACATCCCAGCAAATCTGGGTCAGGGAATGGGAAGGGCAGGACCACCTGCCCTCTACAAGGATGCCAAAATGGGGGGCTGGTGGTGGGATGCTCCTGCGAAGCCCCCACAGCATATTCCCTGTGCACCTGCTGGGGGCATCCGGGCTGACGGGGGAGGTCAGCTCGGAGCTCACCCTCTAGCTAGCTCCAGCCCCTCGGACATGCCCTGGTCACGGCTCGGGCCACCCCAGAGTGCAGAGGCTTTTCAGGAGCCTGGTGCCACTAGAGGGAGAGCTCAGCCCGAGCAGGATGGGACACCATCAGCGCATGCGGGTGTACAGTGGGTGTGTGGCACTGCACATCCCTCTGTACCCCACACACCTGCCTCCCCTTGCGACAGGAAAACTGTCTCTGGCTGGAAACCACCCCAGAGCAAAGCCTGGAGCTGGGAGCCAACCCAAGCTAGGGGTAAGGTGGAGGAAACGGCCCCCCTGCACAGTCCACACCGGGCATGGCCAGGGATGGGTCACTCTCAGCAGATAACAGGAGCCCAGTATGGCCCAGGTTGCTGTGGACCCCCCCAACCCCTCACCCTGCTCGCAGTGCAGGTGGGGCACGTGTCCCCCCCTCAAGGACCTGGGGGCACAGTGGTGAGTGCCTGGGGAGCCAGTGATGCTGGCGGGTCCACAGGTTGTCCGGAACAACAGGTTTTTCTAGATCCAAGAGACTATAAAAATGCAGTGACCTATTTAGGGAACCCCGCGGTGCTGCAAAACAGATGCTTCCTCTCCCAGCCCGGCTCCAGGCCCTTGCCCTGGCCAGCCATCTGCGCCTGCCAGGGGCACGCAAAATACCACTGGCACTGGAGCTCTGTCCCACTTCTCCATAGAAAACCCTGGGCAACACATAGAGTTTCCTTGGGTGTGGGATTTGCTGGTGCCTGGGGAACCCCCTGCCCGGAAGAGCTGCTCAGGGCAACCCAACCTGTTTCTGGCAAAGCCAGACAGGATCATATGGACAGGAACAGCTGGCCAGCTTGCTGTAAAACACAGGGTGTTTAGCTCTGGGGATGTGGCAGGAGAGTGGCCCCAGTGGGTGGTTGCAGGTCTGTGTGGCTGGAGACCCCACGCTGTCCCACAGCTCGGCAGTTCCAACCGGCATCAGCCCATCACCACCTGCCCAGTGTGATAAGGAAGCAGGAACTGCCACAGGCTGTAAGTGGCTGTTCACTGTGTCAGTGAGCAGGGCAGAAGTACAGCCACACAGCGTATTCCCTCACCACCACAGCTGGAAAACCCTCCTGAAAGCTCAGACGGACTCTGCCGCCCTTCCAGATCACTCGACCCCATCCCCGCTCTCTGGATGGCTGCGGCTCCCTGCACTTGGTGCCACGTGCCTGGGACAAAGGACAGTGTGACAAAAGCAGGCGGCTGCGCTCACTGCCGCCGTCCTCCGCCCCTGCAAGGGCTGCATCTCCTCCACCACTGCATCCCTAGGGCCAGGGCACAGCACAGGGCTCCTTGCTCAGCTGCCAGCTTGCTCTGCCATGCCCCGTGTGCCCTGCTCTGCTGCTGCTGTGGGACCCTGTCCTGGGCACAGGCTGTGGGCTGGAAATCACAGCCAGCTTTACCATTGCAAGGGATCAGGGCTTGTGACACCCAGACAGGTGTCTACCACCAAGAGTGGCTCATAGCCTGATGGTAGGAGAGCCAGGACCACACGACTCAGCCAGCAATGGCAGGATGGCAGCAGGGGTTTGGAGTGAGTCCCCTGGGGTACTCTGGGACAGGGCATTGTCCCTGTCATCTCTCTGAACTTCCCAATCAGAGATTGAGCACTGCCTGAAAAGTGCTTTTGGAAAGAGCTTGTGGATGCCTCTCTCTGGGGTCCCTATTCCCAAAGCCCCACTCCAGCTTCCCTGGATCCAGTTGCTCCCTCGCTCGATAGGAAGGCAGATTGCCCCAGCACTGATGTGGCAGGGCTTATCCTGAAACCATCTGTCCCAGGATTCTCACTGTGTATGACCAACCCCAGTGTGACGTCCCAAAGCTGGACACCAGTGGAAGGGGTGTAACAAAGACTGTGCTGCTCTCTCTGCTGAGTGTGCTGGGAGATGCTCATTGTTAATCCTGGGCTGTCTCCTGGGCAGAGCAGCCGCTGCCCTCTCAGTCAGTCCCTGCAGGCTGACAGCCCTCGCTGGGGACAGGTGCTGCGGGGGAAGCTGCAGAACGGCTCCAAAGGCAGCTCTGCCATGGCCAGCTTTGTATTCCAGCAGGCACCGGTCACCCTGCTCCGGCCGGCAGCCTGGAGCCTTCCCTGCCTGGATCCAGTGCTGTTCCTGATGGGATTCTTCCGAAAAGGAGAACCCCAGGAGTGCGTGTGTGCACTGTGCGGGGCACGGGGCTGTGTGTGCACCAGTGCGAGCTCACAACATGCGAGTGTATGTGAGGATCGGGGTGCGTGTGCGTGCGGGGAGTGCCGGACGGACGGCGTGTCCCCGTGTCACACCGGGGGGGTGCACACACCGTGTGTTCGTCTGCGGGGGCTGCGGGGTCACCGCGGTTCGTGGGTGTGCGGGGGCGGTTGCGCCGATGCCAGGTGCGCACCGTGCTGCGGGCGCCGGTCCGTTCGGTGGTTACAGCCGGGTTGTGGGTTCAGCGGGGTTCCCGGGTGGGCAGGGCCGCCTCTCCCCTCCTCTCTTTTCTCCTCTCTTCTCTTCTCTACTCCGCTCGGTCGCCGACCGGAGCCGCGCCCGGCGCGGCGGGCGGCGCGCGCAGAGCCGGCAGTGCCCGCCCCGGTGCGGGGCCGCCCCGCCCCGCCCCGCCCCGCGCCGCCGCCGGGGCCCGGCACCGCCGCCGCCACCACCGGGCCCCGCTCCGCCGCCGCCGCTGGGTGAGTACCCGCCGCCATCCCACCGGGACCGGCCACCGGTCACTCGCACCGCGGCCGGGGCACCCGCACGCACCGCCCGGCGCGGAGCGGGCCGCGGCTGCATCGCCCTCCCGGCGGGCCGGGCCGAGCCGAGCCGGGCCGAGCTCAGCCGTGCCCGTGCTGTGCCCCCGCGGCGTTGCACAACCGCTGTAGGTGGGTGGGTGGGTGTGCGCGGACCCCCCGGGTGCCGCCCCCCCGGTTGCGGGCTGTGGGTGTGCGCATGGCCCGCTCTTGTCTCGCAGCGCCTGTGCAGCCCCCGGTGTCACTCGTGTGCGCGGTTGCATGTGTGTGTCACCTTGTGCAGGGTGTGCTCCTGTGTGCGGTGTCCCCGCGTGTCCCCGTGTCCCCCCTGCAGGATGCCCCGTGTCAGGTGCTCCGTGCTGGGTACCCCAGCAGAGCTGCAAGGCTCTCCAGGGCCAGCCCTGCTTCCAGGGAGAACCCGCTGGCCTGGGCCTTTCCCACACCACCAGGGAATTACATCCAAAGCCATTAGCCCGGCTCGCCGCTAACCACATCGCTGATGGGCCGGTACCACTGGCACCTGAGGCACCTTTTTTGGAGTGACGGGTGGGTGGCACTCAGCGAGCTGCTGTGCCGGGGGTGGTGGGGGCTCGCAGGGCTGTAGCCACCCCAGCGCCTGTTGGCTTTCCCAGAGAGGAATATATGGAGCATCGGGCGAGGGCTGGGACGCGCGTCCCTAAATCGTGTGGTTTCCAGCCGGCCTGTGAGATGCAAATTGTCTGGTCAGCGAGTGCCAGAGCTAAACTTAGGGCAATTACAGGAAAGTGTGGGCACATGACAGTGTATTCCTACACCCCTAGGCTGGCCCTGGTACTCTGACACTGGGGGACCCCTGCCCACTGCCCCATCCCAGTCCCAGCTGGGCGTTCCCACAGCAGCTGCATCAGCCCTGGACTTTGCCCAGTGACGAGCTGTGGCT